GTCTTATATGCCGGAGCGTCTTATATGCCGAAAAATACGGTATATTTCCCAGCCCAAGGCAGAATAAACATACTGCAGAATTTTAATCACCTCATGGTTCCTCTTTGTTTAATCCACTAGTTTATTGTGTTATTTCTGTATATTGTATTTTGACACTTCAATAAGGCATTTACAGGGAAGTGCTAAACAAAAGGAGGACAACAACAACAAAAACACAAAACAGGCTGAATGGTCCAAAGGGACAATCAATGTGAATATTTTGCAGCAAAACCAAAAGGGCCTTTTGGCACCTTAAAGATTAATTAATTAGTTAGTTTTTAAGTTGCTATTTCAGTAATGTTGCCAGAGAAAGAGTGGGGAGAGTCTAATTTATATTTAAATATATATATACTGGTAAATTCTAAAAAGCAAATCTTGATTTTGCCATTTTATATAAGGGGCACCATTTTACTATGCCATTGTATATAATGGAGTATCCATGGCTTTTGGTATCCATGGGGGGTCCTGGAACCAAACCCCAATGTATACCAAGGGCTCACTATATTCCTCAGTTGTCCCCCATCCAAGTACTAACCAGGGCTGACCCTACTTAACTTCCAAGATTAGACAGGATCTTGTGCTTTCAGGTTAAATTCATATAATCCTTACACAATATTGTGTGTGTGTAAGCATGTGTGTACAGTTAGCCCTCCATATCCATGGGTATTTTATCCATGGATTCAAGCATCTACAGCTTGAAAATACTTTAAAAATATACAAATTCCCATAGGCAAACCTTGATTTTGCCCTTTTATATATGGGACACCATTTTACTATGCCATTATATTTAATGGGACTTAAGCATCCAGGGATTCTGGTATCCATGGGGGTCCTGGAACCAAACCCCATCAGATACCAAGGGCCCACTGGATTAACAAAAAATAAGTATGAAAAGAACCTGGCCTCAACCACAATAGAAGCAACAACAAGCCTATTGACAACTTTTCCCCATCAATGAAAAGGTGCATTACAGTAATGACTGGAATGTAAGGCGGCAGCAGGATAGAAACAACAGTGTGTGATAAGTACTGGCCAAAGATGCTTTTATCCTGTTAAAATTCTGCTTTTGTAGCCTGTGTGATAAAGCCCACAGAGTGGGATGGAGGTGGCATGTTGGACTTCCAAAAGGTCATGGAGATAGAAAAAATACTTAATACAGTAGTCCTTGCTATCTGCAGGGGGATGCGTCCCCCCCCACACAGATAGCCAAAAACACAGATGCTCAAATCCACGGCCGTTTAAAGAGCCAGGGCTTGCCGTCCACAGAAGCTCAAATCTGTGGATGGCAAGTCCGTGGTTGTTGAAGGCACACTCTAATTGTGATGAAAACCCTGTATTCAACCTCTGTGTTCTATGGAAGGTACAAAGGCATCCCAGTAGTTGAGAACAACTGTGTTAGGAAGAAGGGTGGATATCACTGATCCTCCAGATCATAGAATCATAGAATCATAGAATCATAGAGTTGGAAGAGACCACAAGGGCCATCCAGTCCAACCCCTACCATGCAGGAACTCCCAATTAAAGCATCCCCGACAGATGGCCATCCAGACTCTGTTTAAAGACCTCCAAGGAGGGAGACTCCACTACACTCCGAGGAAGTTCCTCCTAATGTTTTTGGCTGTTTAGATGTTTTAGGCTTCAACTCTCAGACCAATATGGTCAATAGTCAGGGATTGTGGGGATGCTAGTCCAGAAGATCTTATGGACCAAAGGTTCCCCATCCCTGTACTACATGGTAAGTGATACTGAACATGTTCTTCAAAACAAAGTTTCGTCCTTCTAATGTAACCAAATTTGTTCCCGCCTTCAAAGCAAATGAGCCCAGGACTTTATTTTACCAGTACAGCCCCCAGCATCAGGTGTGTGTGAACGTCACCATTCCCCAAGAAAGTAAAGCACTGAAATCAGGTCTCCAAGAATGTGGGCTTTATCATTTTGAACTGAATCCATTCCAGGGCTCTATCTGCAAACTATACAGAGCTATCCAAAGTGCTGAAGCCAATTCACAAATTTAGTTCAGCACCTTGGACAAATCCTTTGAATTCACTTCCTGCTGACATCGCAGCCACCAGCTGTCCCTGCTCTTACTATGATGCAATTGCATTTTTTATTATTTCTGCAGAATATGTTCTTTTGACCTTTGATTCAGGTTAGAGGCATGGCATTATATAATCACAGAGCTGGAAGAGTCCACCCTATGCTCAACACAGGATCTCCAGCTGAAGCATCCCCAATAGTAGCTGTCTGGCCTCTTTTTCAAGACGTCCAGAGAAGGAAACCCCATTACCTCTCTAGACAATTGATTCCATTGCTGAACTGTTCTTACTGTCAAGAAATTCATTCTAATGCTCAATCAAAACCTATTCTTCAATATCTTCAAACCATTAGGCCTGGTCCTACCCTCTGGAGCAGCAGAGAACAGGTCTGCTCCTTCCTCTCTGTGACAGTCAATGCCAATGGGGTATTTAAAAGTTGCAATCCTGTCACCGCTCTATCTGCTCTTCACCAAGGTGAACATGCCCAGCACCTCCAAACTTTCCTCATATGTTCTCCATACCTCTTACCATTCATGCAGCCCTTCTCTGAACCTGCTCCAGCTTGTCTATACACTTCTTAAAATGAAGCAACCAGAACTGAATGCAGTACTCTAGATAAGGATTAACCAGTGTACAATATAGTGAGACTATTAATTCCCTCAATTTGAAAACTATGCTTCTATTGATGCAAACTAAAATAGCATTCACCCGCTCTGCTGCAGCATCATACTGGGATTATTATTGATCATAAATTGAACATAAGCCACCACTGTGATGCTGTAGCAAAGAAGGTGAATGTTATTTTAGCCTACATTAATAATAATTAAGGCATGTAGTACAGGCATGTAGTAATTTTGGCATGTAGTACAGTTGAGCCATGTATCCTCTATCCTATACCCGTGCATTTGGTTGTAGAATTTTTCATTTGTCTCTACTGGATTTTATTTTAGTCATTTCTGCCCAATTTTCTAGTTTAGCTAGATCCCTTTTGAATTCTCTTCCTATCTTCCAATGTGTTAACTACCCCTCCCAGTTTTGTGTCATCTGCAACCTTAATTACTTCTCAAGAGAAGGTTAAGTGTGTGTTTGTTCATTAAAGGTTCTTAAGTCACATACGTACAATAATTTGTCAGCGTGTTATTAGCTTTTGGCCTGACAGTTGAGCAAGGAAAAATAAAGTTAGGGAAGAGAGGAGATAGCAATTATGAAAAGTATTTTCTTATTAAAAAGGAACCTGCAGGAAGCATCTGCTCTGATGCATCAACAGCATCTGGTTCAGCGGCAGCTGGTAGCTTCCAAGTCGGTGGGGTAGTGAATCTTCTCTGGGTTTAATTTGAACTTTAAAGGAGCTATCCGAAGGGCTGAAAAAATCTAGGGGGATAGAATTCAGCACCCAATGTTGTTGCTGTTGTTGTTATTTGCCATCTGGTCAGCTTCAATTTAATTGTGACCCTATAGATGAGAGATCTCCAAGCACTCCACTCATCAACAACTCTACTTAGGTCTTGCAAATTCAGGGTTGTGGCTTCCTTGATGGAACCATATGTGTGATTTTCTATTTTAATGTCTGGACTAATGCTTAGAGCAAATTTCCTGGCCTGCTGGAATGGGAGCCACTTGCTGCCACTGGTCTGGTTTAAACATTTCTATTTTTGTGCCCTTGAGTCAATCTTGATTCATGGCAACCCTGTGAATAAGACATTTCCAAGACACTCTATCCCCCGTAGGTCCTGCAAATTCATGCCCATGACCTGTTTAATAGAGTCCATCCACCTAGCATGCAAGAATGGCAAATCACCAGAGCAGGGGTAGACAACCTTTCCCCTTTAAGGGCTGGAAGACTTCAGCTCCCAGAATCCCAGGAGCTATTGGCCAACATGGGACTATTGGCCAACATGGCTGAGGCTTCTGGGAGCTGAAGTCCCTCGGCCCTTAAAGGGGAAAGGTTGCCTACCTCTGCACCAGAGTGTAGAGGAGTGGGAAAGGCTGCATCTATACTTCAGAATTGATGCAGCTTGGAACTGCTTTAACTGCCAGGGCTCAATGCTATGGAATTCTGGGATTTACAGGGTTGGTATGTTTTTGTTTTCGTTTTCAGATATTTAGCCTTCTTTGTCAGAGAGCTATGGTGTCACTACAAACCACAAATCCTAGGATTCCATAGACAGTTAAAGCAGTGTTCAACTGCATTATTTCTGCAATGTGGCATCAGCCAGAATGTCATAACAGTATTTGGCTCTTCCAAAGAATGACAAGAGAAGTGAGTTCACTTATCATCTTGCATTCCCCCATGTTTCACTAATAGCTTGAAACCGAAGAAAACTGGGCATAGAGACGAGACAGGAATAATGAACAACTGAACAGGTTCAAATATATCTCATGAACTGTGTACAGACTTTTGAAAAGTTGGACTATTGCTCCCAGATAGGGGATTTAACTTCCCAATGGACATGTTGGTTGGGGTCTTTAGGTTCTTAAAAAAGAACTTTGCCAAGCTCCAACAGTGGCCCTGGAGCAGTGAACAGAATGTGGAATTGG